TGGGGGTGGGGGTGGGGCGGAGGAGGGGGCGTGTTGGTGGGGGTAGGGGGGTGTGTTGGTGGGGGTGTTGTCCGGGTCCCGGGGCTGCCTGATGTCTCTCCTCACACAAAGCGGCGGGGACGGTTTAAATGTGAGGGTGAGGGTGAGAGTGAGCTTACCGCCGCGCTGGCCCGGTCCCAGTGCCGCTCCATGGAAAATGTGAAAATTTAAAGGCGCTCAGCGAGGACCCGGGCCCGAGCCGCCATTTTGTTTTAGGACCTGACATCAACGCGCACAACGCATGCTTCCCCGCCCACTCCGGGCATGTGACCTCTAGGCCCCGCCCCATTCCCTACCAGCTGGAACTACAGCCCATGGTCTATCAATGAGCCATCCACTTTCCTGTGTGCCTACAAAACCCCCAGAAGGAGCATAGAATCTGTTACAGGCCTTTGAAACGAAGATACCAACAATTCCACGTGCATAGAGTTTTGCTGAAAATTGCAAAACAAAAGCAAGCTGAAAAGTGATACCCAGATATGAAAATCTCAGTGGTTCAGAGCTGGAAAAGCTATAGACATCTCTTTGCTAGAGGGCTATATAAATGGCAGTGGGAAGAAAGGTTGACCAGGATGGTTGCAGGCCAGTTCCACTGATGGGTGAAAATGGTGCGAGACAGAAAAGTGTGGCTGCATTACTGCACACCCCCAGGCAGAGAGAGGCTGCAATCAGCAACAGCACAACTCTGCTTTTACAGCATGTATTGCAATAAATTCACCCAAATTCAGTTACCAGACACATTGAGATAACCCCAAGTGCACACTATTCCCATGGGATGTGGATGTCACTAACTGGGCCAGTATTTATTGCCCCAGGGAAGGTGGTGATGAGCCACCTTCTTAAGCTGCTGCTATCCTTGTGGTGCAGGTACATCTTTAGTCAGTTAGAAAAGAAATGTGTATATATTGATATCTTTTCAATATTTGTTTGAAATATTTATTCATCAACTAATAGAAGTGCACTTTTTAAAATATGAAATTTTATCAAATAACTTGCAGTTGACTGGGGAGATACAGCAGACAAAATATTTGGGTCTACAATTCTGTCACCAATCTACAAGATTTAACACTACAAAGCCTTTAAATAAAATCAGAGAATGCTGAATATACTCCACAGGTCTGGAAACAACCATGGAGATAGAAACAGCTCATGTTTCAGGTTAAAGACACTTTTTGTCAAACACTTTCAGCATATGCAATATTTCTCCATATCAGCTGGAAGTTGATTCACCTACTGCGATCCTTAAAATCTCACTATTAAAGAAAGTAAAAAAAATCAATATTTTTTAGAAATATAAAACTGGACACAATGAAATAAATGCAGGACAGTTAGCTCCAACACAAATAAAATAGGAAGCCACATTATGCATATTATGACCGCAGTATTGACATTGACAGGAGTCCATTCAGCCCACTGTAAACAGATAAGTAATGACAATAAATTTGTTCACCACATTTCTCTTCCAGCTGCTGTACAGAGGTGTTCATACCAATTGTAAATCTACCAGTTCTGAAACCACATTGAGGTTCAGGATGGATGAATTCAACCAGGATTTACAGTCTGGCAAGAGCAACAATTGAAAATACTTCTCCTATAATGCTCCATAGGAGTGCTGAAGAAGGATCACATGACCTGAAACGTTAATCTGCTTTCTCTCCACAGATGCTGTGAGATCTGCTAAGTCTTTTAAGCAATTACTGTGGCCATCCTTGTTCTCATATACATTCACAATCTTTGTATCACACATCCTGCGGCACTGCCTTCTCCCTCCAGCAGCAATAGAAATCCACATAGAAGCTGCAGAAATGCCAGGTTCCCATGCTCAGTGAACTCAGCATTGCCAATTGGAGCTTTGACCGTGGTAAGTGAAAAACAGCTTTGTTCAGCTTCTGTGCTGTGGATTGTGGTCCATCTCTGCCATGACAGGCCGACTTCCTTCAGTGACTGTGTTCTTCCTACAGTACAACTCAAGGTAATGTTCCACCCATCTCTCCAAATGTTTAAAGTATTTTCAACAGAGCTGTTTTCTTTGCTGGTGGACCTCTTGACTTTCTGATTCCATCAAACATGCCTCTGACCTTCCTAGTGTTGAAGGACATCTGAATATTTTGGCAGTTGTACCCAGTAGTCATTGGCACAGTCCCTCGAACTTTACTTTGAGCAGCTCTTACTGGATTCAGAGTTTCTCACTTGGATCTCTCTTGTAATTAATGAAAGCAGACTGTTTAGCTTCTATGATGTATTCTGTGACAATGGTTTGAAGTTAACATCAGTCAGCATTTTCTACTCGTTTCCCACATGATGAGAGTGCATATTGTGCATAGTGTCTTGAAGTATGCCCCATTTTGCTCCTTCGCTCTGTGTGGGAATGCCAGAAAGTGCCTGTTCTATTAAGTAATGGAACTATTGGTTTTTGTTCTGGGTCAGCAGTATGACTGACATTGATACAAGGACAGCATTTCTGCTTTGAATGGAAAATCCTTGAGGGTTGCAGCCTCATCGTGGTGCATTAGCGGGGAGTGATCTGTATCATAGTCAGCATTGTGGTAGCAGCCTGTGCTGAGAATGCTGCTCAGAGAGTCATGTCTGGTGATGATCAGATCCAGCTGGTCCCAATACCCTGATCTCGGATGTCTCCAGACACCCTGTAGCATGGCTTGATCTAAAAGAAGGCGTTAGTTACACAAAGCTAATTACAAAGATCGAGTAATCTCTTCCATTCTCATTTATCTTTCTCAGACTAAAGTGTCCAGTAGGAGGGGGCCATGTCTCCAGTGATTCAGGCACTAGAAAAATTGGAATCCAGACAATTCAATGTATCTGCAGTTGCTCAGCGGGTAGCATGCTCATCCTTGAATCGTGCGGATCTGGGTTCAAATCCCACTCCAGGGTTTCAGCAGAAGGCTGACATTCCAGAGGAGCACCCCGAGGGAGTGCTGCACTGTCAGAGGCAGTGACAAATTGAGACCGTCGCCTGATTGAAGAGAAGTAAAGGATCTCATAGCTTCTTAAAGTAGATCAGTTATCCCTACTGCCCTAACCACCCATATTAACTAAAGGTGGTTTTATGGCGGATATCCTATGCTGGCTGAAAAAATAAGATACCCAGACGGATCCCATTTTACCAGCACTGATTCTTAACCCTGAGGTTCTGTGAATTCAGATGAATATTATTTGAGGATTTCTGCCTGTCTGCTTCAGACCCTACCACCCTCTCGGTGAAAAATGGTTTCCCTTAAGCCTTCTACTGATTACCCTAAATCTGTGCTGCCCCCCTCTCCCGCATCCGCCTGAGAAAAACAGGCCCTATTCTAACAACAGCACAACAACATTATATGGCTATCATTGGTTGCTGTTTTGGGATCTTGCTGTGCGCACGCTGGCTGCCTCGTTTCCTACACTTAGAGAGGGCGACTACACTTTGAAAGGCATTCTGTTGACTGCAAGACTCTTCGACACGTGATAAGCGCTATAAAAATGCAGGTCTTTCTTTTTAATTCGCTTCTTGCAGTCGCTGTGAATCGTTAGCCTTTTTAATCAGCCCCGATACCGACTGTATTGGGAACTCGCTTCCTCAGCGGCCAACATTCCGCAGCGCAGCGCAGCGCTGTCAATGGGTGCCCGGAATCATTGCTGTTTCTCGGTGTGGAGCGTGTCTCTGGCCCCGGAGCTGGAGGCGCCTCTTTGTGTAGAGCAGCAGCCGGAATGTGCCCGCTACCCCACCCCCCAACCCCAGCTCAGGGGGCCAGCAGGAGGCAGAGAGCGAGAGAAACACACTCACAATCACAATCGGCTTGTACAAAAACACACACAGTACTGTACAAATCACACACTCCCAGTCCTGGCCACATAAAGCCAGTGAAGAAAATGAAAGCTTCGCTCCGAACATGGGGCTTCAGATCGGAGCCAATGCAATCACTAAAATTCCAAACACACCCAGGCTGGAACATCCCCTTCTCCCCCCAAGGAAGCTACAAGACAACTTTCTCTTACCAGGTTCGGTTTTGGTGTCAGTGTGCGGCTCGTTTCTTTCCTTTTTGGTTAATGCGCAAACCCCAGCCGCTCGCCAACTGAAACCTCCGGGAGATGGGACCTCTGTGTGTGTGTGTGTGTCTCTCTCTCCCTCGCCTTCCTGCAGCCTGGCTCTGTCTAACCCCTCCCTCTATCCCTCCCACAGCGGAGCCCGAGTCAGCTTCAGCGGACAGCATCCTGGGAGCTCTAGTTCACAGTGAGCCAGCTCCCCCCTTCCCCCCCTCCCCCCCCACTTTCCCCTCTCCTCCTCCTCTCCCTCTCCCTACCCCTCTCCCTTCCTCCTTCCCCCACCTCTCCTCATCCCCCCCTCCCCATTCAGCCCATTTGTCTGTACCAGCTCTTCAAACAAGCATCATTACCTAATACCAATCTCCTGGTTTCCCCACCCCCCATACCTTTGCACACCATTTTATCGGATGCCCTCTGCAATTCCTAACTGAACCTGCCTCCACTATGATTCCAAACAGTACTACTCACTGTGTGAAAAACTATTTCCTCACATCACTCTTGCTTCTTTCGTAGTTCTCGTTAAATGTAGGCCCTTATACTAGTGGAAAGGGCTTCTCCCTATGTACTGTATCTTGCTCACTCATAATTTTGAAAACCTGAATGAAGTGTCCTGTTAGCTTTCTTCTCTCCAAGGAGAAAAGTTCCAACTTAGATTCATAGAGTTATACAGCATTTTATCAATCTATCCTCATCACTGAAGTTTCTCATCCCTAGACCATTCTTGTAAATTGTCCAATGTATTCACATCTTTATTACAACATGATACCCACAACTGTACACAGTGCACCAGCTGAGGTCCAACAAGTGTCTTGTACAAATTTAACCTCACCTCCTTGCTCTTGTACTCTATGCCCCTCTTAATAAAGCCAAGGACACTGTGTGCCTTACTTGCTGTTCTCTCTACTTGTCCTGCCACTTTCAATGTTCTGTGCACTTAGACAACCAGGTTCCTCTGCTCCTGCACCTGTTTAGAATTGTACCCCTTATTTATGTTGTCTTTCAATGTTCTTCTGACCAAAATGCATCACTTCACAGTTCTCTGCATTGAACCAAACATGGCAGCTATCTGCCCACTCCAACGAGTCTACATTTTTCTGCAGTTCTACACTACACTAAGGCCACTCACCAGAAGCTGCAAGGAGACTTCATGATCAGAGAGATTATGAATTTATCACTTAAAGATAGAAGGGGAAATTCCAGACAAAACTGATTCACAATCATCTGAGTGAGAGGTACAAAATACAGACAGGATTCCTGTCTCCACAAACAGGGGCTTAATCTGACATGTACTGATTGAAAACCCAGGGAAAACACAAACAGGTAGCAACTTCAAAAAAGAGAATTGCAGGTAGTCCTCCGATAATGCAATAGTTGCATTCTTGTGTGACCTCGTGCTATAGAAAATCTCATTATGGGGAAATCGCTAAAAGAGAATTACTTTACCTGTACAGTAGAAAGTTCGCGTTATCCAAACAGCGTCCACTATTTATCAATCGCGTTACAGCCAATTTGCATTAATATCTGTACATTACATCGAATTAAATAACATTTACAGCACTAATGGGCCACTCAGCTCAACTGGTCTGTGCTGTTTACTTCCACACTAACCTCTTTCCACCCCCTGACTGATTTGCTCTGTCTTCATTGAGATAACCATTAGTAAATCAGTCCTCTTGGGCTAGACTGACACATGGTTCACAGGTAAGGGCTGAGCCCTGCCCTGTAGAGGCTGCTCCCTTATCCTGAATTGTCTCCACTTTGAGAGTGTTGTATCTCTGCCTCTATTCCACCAAACTCTTTTACATTACACTGATCCCTGTAACACAGCCGTCTTGCATGGGTTATTCCTTCCTCACGGAATCTCAGTAGCATGTAACTGCTGACATCAGTGTTACAGCACTGTATCCATCATCGTGTTATTAATATGTGCATTCTCTTTCTGCTCCAATTCCTACTTCTCCATCTGTCAGTTGTCCATGTGTTCCTTTCTCCCAACTGTATTTTCTAAACATCTCCTTAAATGTGTCGATTCTATTTATATTGATCACTCCCTCTGGTAAAGATTATTCTCTGAATAAAAGCTTTTCTCTTGAATTCCCAATTGGATTTATTAGTGAATGTCCGAGATCACCGTTTACATTTTCAAAGCAGAAATGTTCCTCTGTATCAGCCTCACTCCTTTGTTCATTACATCTCACTCTGTGGAATTCTGCTCCAAAACTACTTTTTCCTCTTAGTTTCAGAAACTATTTAAAGTTTTTTCCCATTGATGGGTTCCTGGTTTTAATCTGTTCTATCCCACCTTGTTGAGCACACTTGAACTGGAAATGCATATGAGAAAGAGAAATAGGAGAAAACACGATGGAATTGAATTACAAATATGTCACCTGATGTCATATCTGTTAAAGAAAAGGACATCCTCGCTTTAAAATTCTGCACATTGCTTCTAAGTTAAACACGTCTGTTCAAGATGGAGGCCAAAGTAGACTGTGTCAGTTAAGAAACAGTGGACTGTTTCAAAGCCAATTGAACAGTGCGCCAGTCTCAAATAACAAAAGAGAGACTCTTAGAGTGCATCTAGACCTGGGCAACATGACAGATCCTTCTAAAATGCAAAGTAGTGTTTCCTGCCTCAATAGACATCAAAGTAGGGGAATTTGAATCTTCAACTATGGCATTTTAAAAGCTGTAACAGTCATAGTCATAGAGTCATACAGCATGGAAACAAAATCTTTGGTCCAACTCGTCCTTGCTGACCAGATATCCTAAACTGATCTAGTCCCATTTTCCAGCATTTGGCCCATATCCCTTTAAACTCTTCCTATTCATATACTCATCCAGGTGCCTGTTAAATGTTGTAATTGTACCAGCCCCCACCACTTCCTCTGGCAGCTCATTCTATACACGCACCACCCTCTGCATGAAAAAGTTGCCCCTCAGGCACCTTATAAATCTTTCCTCTCTTACTTTAAACCTATGCCCTCTAATTTTTGACTCCCCTGCCCTGGGGTAAAGACCTTAGCTATTCACCTTATCAATGCCCCTCATGATTTTATAAACCTCTATAAGGCCACCCCTCAGCCTCCGACACTCCAGGGAAAACAGCCGCACCCTCTCCTGGAATACTGTGTCCAGTTCTGGTCATCCAATTATAGGAAGGATAGTATCAAGTTCAAGATGGTTCAGAAGAGATTTACCAGAATGTGAGTAGTGGCTGGAACATTCCCCTTTCCTGGGATGTGGATAGTGGCTGGAACATTCCCTTTCCCGGGATGTGGGTAGTGGCTGGAACATACCCCTCTCCCAGGATGTGCATTGTGGCTGGAAGGTCCCCCTTGCCCAGGATGTGGGTAGTGGCTGGAACCTTCCCCCTTCCCGGGATGTGCGTAGTGGCTGGAACATTCCCTTTCCCGGGATGTGAATAGTGGCTGGGACATTCCCCCTTCCTGGGATGTGGGTAGTGGCTGGAACATTCCCCTTTCCCTGGATGTGGGTAGTGGCTGGAACAGTTCCCTTTTCCGGGATGTGGGTAGTGGCTGGAACATTCCCCTTTCCCGGAAGTGAGTAGTGGCTGGAACATTCCCGTTTCCCGGGATGTAGGTAGTGGCTGGAATGTTCCCTTTCCTGGGATGTGGGTAGTGGCTGGAACATTCCCTTTCCCGGGATGTGCATAATGGCTGGAACGTCCCCCTTTCCTGGGATGTGGGTAGTGGCTGGAACGTCCCCCTTTCCCGGGATGTGGGTAGTGGTTGGAACATTCCCCCTCCCCAGGATGTGGGTAGTGGCTGGAACATTCCCTTTCCCAGGATGTGAGTAGTGGCTGGGACATTCCCCATTCCCGGGATGTGGGCAGTGGCTGGAACATTCCCCCTTCCCGGGATGTGCGTAGTGGCTGGAA